GCATTTCATACTTATACTGGTGCCATTTAAATATGGTAGCTGGTCAAGGAGGAGTAATTGATAACTATTTTATGTACAGTTGGGTTCATTTTATACAATGAAAATGCGTATATTATAGGATGAGTATGTGTTTTTTATGTAAAATCTGAATATGCAAGTGACTATAGCTAATAATAAATGTACGTGGAGTAAAAAGTACAATATCTCCTTCTAAGGATTTATAAAGTAGCATAAAATGGAAATAATCAAGCATAGAGACGTACCTCAAAATTGTACTTAAATGCAGTACATAAATAAATTGACTTTCCTACTTTCCACTACTTGCAGAGTATTGCCAGCAAAGTTGCCAGCTAAAGTATCTAAAGTAAAAGTACTAGTTATGAAGAAAAAAGTCATATATTATTATATATTATATTACTGGATTGCTATTACTGATGCAGTAATGTGCATGCAGAGTTTTATTGTTGCAGTTGGAACTAATTTTAAACTTGAAGTTTTGGCAACTTTATATAATGTTGGGTACTTTAATAACAATAATCTCTAATCCCCTCTGTAAAATATAGGAGTAAAAAGCCTAATGTTTCACTCTAAAATGTGCTGGAATTAAGTAGCATACAATTGACACACTCAAGTTAAGTACCTCAAAATTGCACTTAAGTACAGTATTTAGCCATTTTTTAAGTACCTAATCATCATCATCGAATAAATCCAGTGAGTCAGCCAAATGAAAGTCAAAGTAATGCAGTCCTTAAGATGTATCCTCACCTGGTAAAGTGTAGTAAAATGCTCTGTTCGTCTTAATCAAAGTATTTCTGCATTCAATTTGTTTTACTAAAAGATCAATTTCTTTATTGGAAAACATGACTCAGCTTTAAAACAGCAGTACAACTCAAACACTTAACACAAAGTGGAACTGAGACTCTTATTTGTCGTCCATCCCTTCATGCTGGCAACAGGGGAACATGCCTCAGATACTATGCACCGCATGTGTGTGTATTAATGGCTGACTCAAGCAGAGGCTATTATAAGCAGCTCCAGTGGACAGCAGCCGGACAGACAGACAGACAGACGGACAGGAGAACAGAGCTGTGTGTATGGACGAGGGACACAGAGGGAGAAGAAGGGCCTCTGTTACTTAACTTAACCCGGAAAAAACAACAGCCAGTCCTGCTGAAGGATTAACTCCCTGTCCGTGCTGTAAGTGAACCAAGAATAACACAGATTACAGGTGTGTGTGTGTGTCTGTTGTGTGGTTGCTATAGATGTGCACTCACAAGCCGCCCCCACCGGGATCCAGTAATGTGTCAGCCCCAAATATGGGGCTGAGCAGGGAAGTGGGTCCCTGGGGTCATAAATACTAGTTTTAATGTGGATTAGGGGTTATCTTAATGTGTTTTCACAAGTAGAACAGGACAAGTAAGGTCATCCATTGCTTATAAATGTGAGCCTCCCGGTTGCCCCCCTTGGGGTATCTTATGACAACATCCTGGAGGTGACATAGTGAGAGGCATTCTGTGGTGGCAGCATAGCCAGAATATATTTAGCTGTTCTCCTTAAACTCACTTTACATGGTAAGTGTGTTATCAAGGCCAACAAATGTAAGTTCTTCCCTTAGGAGGCTTAACAAATTTAGAGCACAAACAGTATAGTTTCACACAGTCAAAGCAAACAGCTACACATCCATTTAATACACTGCTCTGTTAAATGTGTGGACGGACTTGTATTGCTTTTGCATGTTACTGTTGTCTATTTTAAAGTAATAGTTTTGGGAAATACGCTTGTTCACTTTCTTGCTGAGAGTTAGCTGAGAACACTTTTACGTCTGTACAGTAAATATGAAGCTGGAGTCAGCAGCCTGTTAGCTTAGCACAAAGACTGGAAGCAGGGAGAAACAGCTAGCCTAGCTATGTCCAAAGGCACCTCTAAAGCTCACCAATTAACACGCTATATCCCGTTTAAAAAGAGGGAAAATATGACATGTTGTAGTTTTACTGGGGGTTATGTGCCAGGGAAGTGGCAGGGAAGTGGAGTTACTAATCCAAGACACAGTCTGGCTCATATCCTCCCATAAAACAGCTAATTCATTTTCACACTTCTGTTATTGTATGGATTTAACAAATTATATATATATTATGTGTTAAATAGTGGGATTTGCAGGTGCTGGTAGGTGGATTTTGTCCTCTTTGGACAGAGTCAAGCTAGCTGTTTCCTTCTGTTAGTGTTTGTGCTAAGATAAGCTAACTAGCCGCTGGTTTTAGCTTCATATTCACTGGACAGATATGAGAATAGGGTTAGGGGTTAGGGTTACAGTTAGGGTTAGGGTTAGAGTCTTTTTTTATCTTACTCTCACCAAGAAAGCAAATAAGCAAATTTATCCAAAATGATGGACCACTGCTTTAAAATACAAATTCAGTAGCTCCATAGGTGGAAAATAGACCTTCGAATTCACTACTCATAGTGTATATGGTAGAGACACAATACACAGAATTGTATTGTTTCATTGCACATCCTGTCAGCACAGGCTGCTGGCTCTTCTGATGCAGGTCAGTAGGTCTGTAGCTGTTTCCCTTGATCCTGTGCTCTCTCTTCCACAGAACATGGCCATTCCCTCGGTGATGGTGTTGCCTCTGCTAATAGTGGTGGCAGCAGGGGTGTATTACATCTACAATGAGGTCATGCAGTTCATGTCCAAGTCCTTAGTGCGAAACAAAGTGGTGGTGATCACGGATGCTGTGTCCGGGGTGGGAACTGGTAAATGATCCCGCTTGTGTTTTTAATATTTTACTGTACTGTCATTGCCATGGAGGTTTTGATTTCACCCTTCTTTCTTGGTTTCTCTGTCTGTCTGTCAGCAGGATGTCTCAAAAGAAAATTCCATGAAATTTCACTAGACGTGTTAGCCTTAGGGGCTGAAGGACAATTGGTGATTCAGATGTTGGAATTGTACCATTTGGTGATTATTGTATTGTAGCCATGACTAAAAGTAATGGAGACAGACTCAATGGAGGAAACAGAATTATTCTCTTTCACGCAGAGAGTTAGAACAGAAGATAAATATCACTCGTTTAAACCTACAGCAAGAAGGCTGTTAGCTTAGCTTAGCTTAGCTTAGCAGACAGACAGAAAGCAGGCACAAACAGCTAGCCTGGCTTTGTCCAATTTGTTGGACAAATTGTAAAGATTTNNNNAGATTTTAAACTTTGGACAAAGCCAGGCTAGCTCATTCCTGCCTTTACGTCAATCTTTATGCTAAGCTTATTGCCGCTTCATATTTAGCATACAAAAATGAGAGTGATATCAATCTTCTTATTCAGGTCTAAAAGTTTTTTGCAAAAACCGAAATGTAAAAATCTACATGTTGTGCTGGGAATTTCTTGGCTGGAAGCAGTGATTTTCTGGAGTTTTGGCTGGTTGTGTGACAACAAGACTCCAGGAAGTTACTGTTCCCGGCCAAGAAGCAGTCTGGAACGTAATCCCCACAAAGTAAAAGATATTACATGTCAATTTGTGAGCTTTAGAAGTGTTGATAGGCATATTGTTTTCCTTTGGACAGAGCCAGGCTAGCTGTTTCTACCTGTGTTCAGTCTTTGTGTTAAGCTATGCTAACTGGCTGCAGCTATTAAGCATAAATATAGAGTGGTATGAATCTTCTTATCAAACTCTCAGCAAGAAAGCAGACTGGGGTATTTAACTATTAAATGAAGTGACTGATTTATTCAGCGTGTTTTTCTCTCTCTGTTCAGAGTGTGCCCATCTCTTCCATAAGGGCGGTGCCAGGCTGATCCTGTGCGGGACTAGCTGGGATAAACTGGAATCTCTGTATGACTCTCTGACTAATGACGCTGACCCCAGAGAGGTGAGCAAATTGAATGAATAAAAATGGCGCATGACGGAACATTAGTCTCAGTTTGAAATACCATAAACATGCCAAACTCTGAGTAAACCCTTCCAAACTAAAACCATTACTCTTTTTCTGGTGCTGAGTCATCTTTTTGGCAAACTACCCGGCGGAGAAACAAATCTTTCACTATGGCTGCTCCAGTAAACACTCTCATCTCTATTAATATACACTGAACTTTGGCAGCATGTGACAGTTCTTATCAGAAAGCAAAGCCCTTAAAATACCAGACAAATCCCTCAAATAGCCATTAGGAATTAACATACAACAATGACATGACATGGTGGGTTTGAGGGTTTTAAGCCAGAGAACAGCAGGTTCGTGCTTGTTTTTATTATAGTCCTCTGCTCCGTCGCCACCTCCCAGATAACCACTTCCTCCTTTTGTCAACACAATAGCAGGATATCCTCTCTGACAGCACACTGTCCTCCATGTATCTTCTATACACAGACCAGAGCAGGTGTGTTTATGTGGAAAAATCACATGAATAGATGACTTTAGCAAACATATGAACTCATGACCATTGGTGTTTTAGCTGTCGATGACACAAATCAAATCAATTTCTGGTTAGTGCTGAGATCGTTTTTTTTCTCTGGATTATCATTGGCTTCAGTTCATAGCTTACCTACCTTTGTTGTTCGCACTGCAACATCTACAGTACACTAAATGTGCTCTCATTGATGGCAGTGCATTGCTACACCTACCACAACATATATCTGCTCAGTTTCTCTCATAATGAAGTTTTTATGTTATATAAAGATATGTTATAATGACACATTTTCCTTGTTGTTATATCAAGAAACTTATGTTATTACACAAAATACTAACATGACTTGTTGACAGAAAAATTAGCAATATATTAATATGGAGAGGTTCAGGTCAGCAGTCTAGCCTGCAGGTCATTCCAAAACCAAGAGCCATAATAAGATAGACTCCCTTTTCCAGACCCACTTTGCACCAGTGGAACCTTTAAGTCTATATTTTTGGATCCAAGATTATAAGTATTTTCTACAAATACAAACTTAGAACACATTGGCGAATGACCTAAAATGGCCTTGTACATTATTTTATACAAGTGTTGAATCCTACGCAGAGCAAGTGAAGAGCATACGACCAGAGTGTACAATGTGCAGTGATGAGTCCTAGTTGGAAATCTGTCTCAAAACATAGACAAAGACATAAAATATTCTGGCAATATAGACACTGGGTACTCGTGAGTAAATTAATTTCCCACATATTTAGTTTTATATATAGTTAATTTACTGAATAATCAAGTAAAACTTACTGTTATCGAAACAGTTTTTTAGACCTTGTTTTCTCATGGCTTTTCTCATTGTCCACACATTATAGACATTTACATACATTTCTGTGTCCCCCTAGACATTTGCCCCAAAGCTTGTGATCCTGGACTTCAGCGATATGGACAGCATGGAGGATGTGGTGGCCGAGGTGGTGGAGTGTTACGGCTGCGTGGATGTGTTGATCTGTAACAGCAGCATGAAGATGAAGGCCCCGGTGCAGAGTGTCTCCCTGGAGCAGGACAGAAACATCATGGACATTAACTACTTCGGCCCCAGCACTCTGGCCAAAGGTGTGTCGGACATTCCTGAGAAAACAATCATCAAATTTATGCTTGGCTCTTCTTAATTATCTGTTTTTCTCTAAATATGTCCAAATTATTTGACAGGTGTTCTTCCAACGATGATCTCAAGAAGGTCAGGGAACATTGTGCTGGTCAACAGCATCCAGGGAAGACTGGCTGTCCCATTCAGAAGTTCATGTGAGTTGCCAACGAAAGTCTCTATAAGCTTTTCCTCAACCAAACCAAACTTAAAAGGTTGGTTCACCTATATCATAAAACATAGCACTTATGATACTTACTAAGATATTTATGATATCTAGTCATTAGAGGTAGGCAGAGTTGCCAAACACTGTACTCAAGAGGAAGTATTTTTTTAGGTAGAGTAGAAGTAAATGTACTGTAGTGATCACAATAACAACTTGAGTAATAGTATAAAGTATGATAGTTATGTGTTTTATTTTATTTTATTTTTGTTTGGATATGACTGACATTGGCATTCTTTGTGATGGAATGTCTAATGTCTAATACAACAGAGCTGCAATAAATTCCAACCTCCATGAAGGTTATAACGTTGAGTGTTTGTTGTTAGAGAGGTGCTGATTCAACTGTGTGGTCCTGTTGGAGGATGTAGTTTGTGCTGCGGTTGTACTGTACTGCGGCTGTGCCGCAGAGGCAGAGCGGGTCGTCCCCTAATCGGAAGGTTGTTGGTTCGATCTCCAGCTCCTGCCGCCACATGTCGAAGTCCATCCTTGAGAAAGTTACTGAACCCTGAATTGCTCCTGATGCCGTGCATTGGTGTGTGAACGTGTATGAATGCATTAGTTTCTGTTCGATGGGCTTTGCCATAGCTGTGTGAA